TCTCTCCTGCGACACACTGACTCCCTTTCTCATCTGGCTGCCGCCGTTCCCCCGCCCTCCCTCCCACCCAGGAGAGGAAGGGAGGGAGGGAAGGTCTTACTCTCCCTTTCCTCCTTCCACCCAGGAGAGAGAGAGAGAGGGAAGGTCGTACTCTCCCTTTCCTCCCTCCCGCACCCTCCCGCTTGGTGTGGTAGTGAAGGGGATACTTACCAACTAGAGAGGATGAACAAAGAACTTTGAAAGTTTACGTAAGCGAAAATTCAGGTTAGTTCTGTCGTTTTGGAGCGCTTATTACATCAGCCTTTCATGCTTGTTAACTCTCCACATTTTGTTGGTCCAATCATGTAGTGAACAATTATTCTAAAACATAGGCTAGACTCTTATATAAGCCACAGTGATGTATATATTTAGCGTAGGGGCAGCTAGCTGGTGGAATGAATTGGGAGAACAACAACTGGGGCGGCGGCGGCAGCTACTGTCGTGATGTATTACTTATTTTACTATCAGTTCCGCTCCCTGGATAGGCACACATGAGCCCTACCTGCCCTGCATAACGTCTAGGATTCAGGTAGGACTGAACATGTCTAAAACACTCAGAGTATCTTAGTTGTAGGATATATTTCATTTTTAAAACGAAGCCTCTTGCGTTGTGTGAGGACTTCGTCCATACGTGACCCGACTTGTCGCGGCCTGTGCTTGCTGAGAGACGTGTGGCATGCTAGCACTGACCTACAAATATCAGCCAATTAGAGCGATACCAAATGACTCTTCGCGTACTCTCATTGGTCGAGGCCAGCACTTGACAGCTAGCTGGCCTGGTCGCGGGTGTCCTGGCAGCGAACAATTCTCTATAGCAACATCGTTGGGAGGAGAGGACAGTTGAGGCGCACCAGAGTCCAATTCATTAATTACTTGATTATGAAGATTTTCTTACAGAGCAACTCTTGACATGTAGCGACCACATCCAGTCCAATGTGACAATGTGTATTAAATTATGTAACTAGCTCATCAAGATTGTAACTTGCTTAGCTAAATGAATTGTGGGGTTTAGTCCCTGAGCCCATTATGTGCCTCTGTAACCCCTTCCACTACTGCCCACAAGATGGGTATGGGGTGCATAATAATAAACTGAACTAACACATCGACCAGTCCCCCCCCCCCCCTTCTCCTGTGCGTGTACTCACATAGTTGTGCTTGCAGAGTCCAGCATCTTGTCTTAAGCTCCTGCCTTGCCACCACCGTTAGTTCAGTGCAGTGACTTTTTCACTCGTTTTTCCTATGTTTACACTTGAAGGTTACTTACTTATTCATCTGTTCCGTAATTTAAACATCTCTTCTATATCTAGTTTATCAACCCCCCCCCTTGGTATCTTGTACGTCTTTTCTTGTCTGTCCTATTCCTTCTTTCCTCCACTATAGTGACGTCCAGTTCCCTCAGTCTTCCCTCCCTTTAGCTTAGGAACTAGCTTTGTTACATATTTTTTAACCTTTTCTAGTTTTGTTTCTTTAGTCACAGGTTCCCTGCCGGGGCAGCATACTCTGTAATATAGGTCTCACAAAGGATGTATACAACGCTCTGAAGGGATCTGTGTCCAGGCTGCTGAAGGATAACCGGACGTTTACCAGTATGACATATGCTGCCCTCGTTATTCGTTGATGTGTCCTTCTAGTGTTAGATCTCCAGTTATATCCACTCCAAAGTCTTTCTCTTTTCCAAAAGTTAGACGTTGCCTTTCCTTCGTCCTGTACTGTATTTGAGGTGTTCTTGCTTCAATTACTATCTTCATAATCTTGCATTTATCAGGGTTAAGGTCTAGTAGCTATTTCTCAGACCGTCTCTGAGATAGTTCCGTTCATCTTGTAATGTTTTGTGGTCCTCTTCAGTTATAGTTTGTCTCGTTAGCTTAGTATCGTCAGCAAACATGGTTATGAATGAGCTTATTTCCTCTGTTAATTAAATACATAGAGGATCGTTTACATATATTACGAACAGGATAGACCCTAATACCGACCCTTGAGGTACTCCACTCACTACCTTCTTCCAGTCTCATAGTTATCCTCTTACTATGACTCTTTGTCTTCTTCCTGAAAGGTACTCCTTCACCCACTTTAATGCTTTTCCCGAAACACCAGCCTCTTGTTTTAGTTATATAGGACTAGCTTGTGAGGAACTGTGTCAAAAGCTTTCTGGCATCCCAGGTAAATGCAGTCTGCAGTGTGTGTGTGCGTACTCACCTATTTGTGCCTGCAGGACCGAGCATTGGCTCTTGGATACCGCCTTTCTAACCACCGATTGTTTAAAGCAATGACTCCTGTCCTCTTTCTCTATTATATCTAGTTTTATAATTATGATTAGTGTTTGCTTTCACAACCTGCTCCCTTAGTTCGTTCCATTTTTCCACTACTCTCACGCTAAAAGAAAACGTTCTAACATCTCTATGACGCATCTGAGCTCCCAGCTGCCACCCATGTCCCCATGTTCTGTTGGTATTCAGTGTGAACATTTCGTCTATTTCCACTCTGTCAATCCCCTTAAGTATTTTATTTGTTTCTATCATATCTTCCCGCTCACTCCTTTTTTCTAGCGTCGTCAGGCTCAGTTCCTTCAGTCGCTCTAAATACCCCAGGCCTCCCAACTCTGGGACGAGCCTCGTCACATATTTCTAAATCTTTTCCAGTTTCCGTATGTTTCTTCAGGTGGGGACTCCATGCTGGTGCGGCATACTCTAAGACTGGTCTCACGTAGGCAGTGTAAAGCGCTGTGTTGTTGTTATAGATTCAGCTACTCGGAACAAGTTCCAAGTAGCACGGGCTATGGTGAGCCCGTAGTGGACTTACCTGGCACAAGAGCGGGGCAAGTAGCACGGGCTATGGTGAGCCCGTAGTGGACTTACCTGGCACAGGAGCGGTGTGTAAAGCGCTCTCAACGCCTCCTTACTTAGGTTTCTGGAGTAAGGTGTTCACAGACACAAGCGTGCGTGTGCGCTCACCTATTTGTGCCTGCAGGATCGGGCTCTAGCCCTTGGACCCCACTTTTCTAGCCGCAGGCAATGACTCCTGACCAATTTTCCAGTCATACTTGCTTTTAAAGTTGTGGATTGAGTTTGCTTCGAGAACCTGCTCCTTTAGGCCATTCCATTTACTCACTATCTTTACGATAAACGAAAACTTTCTAATATCTCTATGACACATCTGAGTCTCAAGCCTCCATCCGTGCCCCCTTGTTATATTGGTATTTATTGTAAACATTTCCTCTTTTTTCCACCCCTGTCAATCCTCCTAAGTACTTTATACGTCCGTATCATGTCCCCCCCCCCTTCTCCCTCCTCATTTCTAGCATCGTCAGATTCAGTTCCTTCAGCCCCTCTTCATACCTCATCCCTCCCAAGTCTGGGACGAGTCTCGTTGCAAACTTCTGTACCTTATCGAACATTCTTATGTTTATTTTATTAGATGTTGTCTCCAGGATGGGGCGGCGTGCTCCTAGACTGGCCGCACACAAGCGCTATACAGTGATGTAAAAACCTCCTTATTCAGGTTTCTGTAGGATGTTCTCACTTTTGCCAGCGTACAGTATGCAGCTGAAGTTGTTCTGTTTATAAGACACACTGGAGATAGATGTGTGTGTGTAATTACCTAAGTGTAGTTACAGGATGAGAGCTACGCTAGTGGTGTCCCGTCTTCCCAGCACTCTTTGTCATATAACGCTTTGAAACTAGTGACGGTCTTGGCCTCCACCACCTTCTCACCTAACTTGTTCCAACCGTCTACCACTCTGTTTGCGAAAGTGAATTTTCGCAAAAGTGTGTGTGTGTGTGTGTACTCACCTATTTGTACTCACCTATTTGTGCTTGCAAGATCGAGCATTGACTCTTGGATCCCGCCTTTCCAGCCATCGGTTGTTTACAGCAATGACTCCTGTCCCATTTCCCTATCATACCTAATTTTAAAAGTATGAATAGCGTTTGCTTCCACAACCTGTTCCCCAAGTGCATTCCATTTTTCCACTAGTCTCACGCTAAAAGAAAACTTCCTAACATCTCTGTGACTCATCTGAGTTTCCACCCATGTCCCCTCGTTCTGTTATTATTACGTGTGAACATTTCATCTATTTCCACTTAGTCAATTCCCCTGAGTATTTTATATGTACCTATCATATCTCCTCTCTCCCTTCTTGTCTCTAGTGTAGTAAGGTTCAGTTCCTTCAGACGCTCTTCATATCCCATCCCTCGTAACTCTGGGACAAGCCTCGTCGCAAACCTCTGAACCTTTTCGCGGCATACTCTAAGACTGGTGTGTGTTTACTAGTTGTGTTTACTAGTTGTGTTTTTGCGGGGGTTGAGCTTTGCTCTTTCGGCCCGCCTCTCAACTGTCAATCAACCGTTTACTAACTACTTTTTTTTTTTTTTTCTCCACACCACACACACACACCCCAGGAAGCAGCCCGTGACAGCTGACTAACTCCCAGGTACCTATTTACTGCTAGGTAACAGGGGCACTTAGGGTGAAAGAAACTTTGCCCATTTGTTTCTGCCTCGTGCGGGAATCGAACCCGCGCCACAGAATTACGAGTCCTGCGCGCTATCCACCAGGCTACAAGGCCCCCTCGTAGCCTCGTGTGTGTGTGTGTGTGTGTGTGTGTGTGTGTGTGTGTGTGTGTGTGTGTGTGTGTGTGTGTGTGTGTGTACTCACCTAGTTGTGTCTGCAGGATCGAGCATTGACTTTTGGATCCCGCCTTTTGAGCATCGGTTGTTTACAGCAATGACTCCGGTCCTATTTCCCTATCATACCTGGTTTTAAAATTATGAATAGTATTTGTTTCCACAACCTGTTCCCTAAGTGCATTCCATTTCCCCACTACTCTCACGCTAAAAGAAAAGTGTGTGTGTATTCACCTAGTTGTGCTTGCGGGGGTTGAGCTCTGCTCTTTCGGCCCGCCTCTTAACTGTCAATCAACTGTTTTTATTACTATTACTACTAATTTCCCCCCCCCCCACACC